GATTAGCTCTTCCCTTCCCGTCGCCGCCCGGAGCCGAGGCCCAGTTTGGCCGGAATAAACCCCGACCTGGTTTGGCTGTGGGTCAGAGCACAGACGTGACCTCGGGAGCTCCAGACCCGAAAGGGTCCCCCGGCTGGAGGTGGGCCCCCAGACCGAGTCCACACGAACCTCAGCAGCACCTGGTATGAGGACCCCCCTGGGCCGGTGAGGGGTCCGCCCAGGAGGACCCCACCTGCCCTTTCACCGTGTCTGTCCCGGGTGCCTGGCCTCAGCGGGTTTAGCTGAATCGCAGACAAAAATGACTTGGCAGACGGGCAGAGAGCCGACCGGCGAGGGGCCCCTGACTGTACTGACCACGAGCCATGGAGGGAGCTCCTTGGGGAGGGAAACCCTGCTTACCGTGGCCCTCGGTTTCTGGCTGAGCCACAGAACGTATCTTTTTCTTTCTTGTTCATCCTCACCCGAGGAGATTTTTCTATTGCTTTTTAGAGAGTGAAAGGGCGGGGGAGAGAGGGAAATGTCAATGTGAGAGAGACATGGATTGGTTGCCTTTCACACACGCCCCTACCAGGCCGAGGATGGAGCCTGGAACTGAGGTACGTGCACTTGACAAAATTGAACCCACGACCCTTCAGTCCCTGGGCCGCCGCTCTAACCATTGAGCAACCAGCCAGGGCGAGCCACAGGCAATAGGATTCCTCCAAATTCACTTCCCACCAGGACGTACCCTTCACTGGCAGATTCAGAGTCGCCCGTAGCAACGCTGTCGTTTAAAAAGACGGACTTCCAGAAACGCAGCATTCCAGCCACTTGAGACACCCGGCTCTCAGCTCGGCACTCAGGGAGACCCACAACCTGAGGCTGCCAGGCGACCTGGAAATTAACCTTCACCCCAAACCTGCTTTCCGACCCCTGTGACCTCCCCCATGTCAAGCTCCCAAACTTGTAAGAAAACTTTGAAAATAGGAATGGTTTTGGTGCTATCTTTTTGCATAGAAAATGCCCAATGGAAATGAACCACTTTTAGGATTTTTTGCAAGTCACCCGCAAGCGACCATGCTAAAATTTCAGCTGAAATGGCCCGGCCAGCGGGGCTCAGTGGTTGAGCATCGACCTATGAACCAGGAGGTCATGGTTCCATTCCCGGTCTGGGCACAGGCCCGGGTTGCGAGCTCCATCCCCAGTGGGGGGCGTGCAGGAGGCAGCCGGCCCATGATTCTCTCTCATCGTTCATGCTTCTCTCTCTCTCTCCCTCTCCTCTCTGAAATCAATAAAAATTAAAAAAAATTTTTTCTCCTGTAATTGAAGAATGGCTGTCGGGGTGTCATTCAGTCACACAGCGTTGTCTGGAGATTTGGACAGTTTTATCAGGAAACGGTATTAAATTTGTCTCCAACTCCCTACAAATATGACACATTGGAAATGGCTGTTTTTCCTTCTACCTGGGGCAGATTTTTTACAAAATGAGATAAAAATACCAAGCTGGAAACAAGTTGATTTATCTGCTCATTCACCCTCCCTTTTACGAACCCATTCACACGCCAAAGCCTGGTGAGAAAGGAAGACAGTTGTTGAGGCCGCCACGTCGAGACGGTCAGCACGCGTGAGGCGAGCCGCTAAGATCTCCAGACAGAGCCCCTTCAGGCGGGGGAGGCGCGAGCCGGGCACTGTGGGAGCGAGGGCGCCCCGGAGCTCTGTCAGCGGAGAGCCTGGAGCCCCCAGAAGCATGAAGTCAGGCCGAGAGCTCCGCGCGCCGCATTCAGCGTTGGCTTCTAAGGCCAGTGAGCAGACACAGCGCATGGAGCCAGCTGTCTCAAAGACAGTGTTACCTTTATTAAAAACGGGCAGACGTAGCAGCACTTCGAACAAGTTCATAAAAGGCATTGTACATTGTCAACTGATAGCGTGGAGGGCGGGCCCCCATCACGACGCGCCCGCCCGCCCCTCAGCACCGAGCGCCCAGGACCGGAGGCCGCGCTCCTCAGCTCCGCCCTGGGGTCTGGGAGAGTCGGTCAAGTCTAGCAGCGCCCTCCTAGCAGCATCGAGCGGTCGTGTCTGGAGGTGGCTGGTGAACTTGACCCACTTATCGCACAATCGAGGCCTCGAGACGAGACGGCACTCCCGTCCAGTGCCGTCCTCAGGAGCCCTGCTCGCGCCTGAAGCTGAGGCGGCCTCCGGGCGCGGACGGGCAGGCACTTGGGCACCACTGTCTTTGGTGAGGAGGCTGGTGGGTCACTCCGTCTCTGGCTCGCCGCTCTGCTTCTTGCCGCTCGGCGGGGGGGTGAGGAGCCCGGACGGGAGGGGAGAAACCCTATTCTGTTCCGACAATATGGCTTTCTTGGCTTGTGCTTTGTCCTGCAGACAAGAGCAGAGTGTTACCACGGGAGCCAATGTCTCTGGGCGTCACGACTGTGCTGTGTCCTGTGGGGGCGAGTGAGGGGAAATAGCAAAGAACCATCTAGAAGCCTGTGCTGTGCAGGGCTCAGCGCAGCATCTGCCGAGCGACTCCCTCCTCGGGGGGAAGGGCGGGCGACTGACCAGCAGGTCCAGGCTGTTCAGGTGGGTCTGGATGTTGTGGGCGTCCTCGGGGGGCACGCCCCGGAACTGCTTCAGCTTCGAGCTCCCTGCCTCCCTGATGACCATGGCGAAGGGGACCATCCACTTGACGCACTTCTCGATGTCGCACCACTGGTACCCTGCGAGGACATGCGGCACGTCAGGCGCCCAGGCCGCGGCTGGCCCGTCCGCCCCGCGAGCGCCCGGGGAGAGGCGCACCTGAGACCTTCTGCATCAGCTCGGAGGAGGAGAAGTGGTACAGGGCGGACGCGGCCAGGACGCCGTAGG